GTGTGTGGATAATTTCCTACCTTTACTGAATGTTTGCCTTTGCTCGTGAGCTTTTCCATTTTGTAGTTTTCTTGTTTCTAGTGGTGGCCTTTTCTTTTTTGTCCAGAGAAATTCCTTTAGAATTTGTTGTAAAGCTGGTTTGGTGGTGCTGATTTTTTTCGCTTTTGCTTGTCTGTAAAGCTTTTGCTTTCTCCATCAAATCTGAACAAGAGCCTTGCTGGGTAGAATATTCTTGGCTGTATGTTTTCCCCTTTCATCACTTCAAATATATCATGCCACCCGCTTCTGGCCTGAAAAATTTCTGCTGAAAAATCAGCTGATAGCCTTATGGGAATCCTTGTATGTTATTTCTTCTTTTCCCTTGTTGCTTTTAATATTCTCTTTATTTTTTATCATTTTAATTACAATGTTCCTAGTTGTGTTCCTCTTAGGTAGGGTTAATTATGTATAGGACTCTGCTTCCTGGGCCTGGGTGACTGTTTCTTTTCCCAGGTTAGGTAAGTTTTCAGCCTTCTAGTTCACTGATCCATTCTTCTGCCTCATTTAGTCTACTGTTTATTCCTTCTTGTGTATTTTTCATTTCAGTTAGTTTTCTTCAACTCTGTTTGGTTCTTTATATTTTAAACTCTTTGTTAAAAACTTCTAACTTCTCACTCTGTGCAAGTCTTCCCAAGTTCTTGGATCATCTTACGATGATCATTACTCTAAACTCTTTCTTGGGTAGATTGCCTGTCTCTACGTCATTTAGTTCTTCTGTGATTTTTCTTTGTTGCTTTATCTGGAACATATTCTTCTACCTCCTCATTTTGTCTAAATTTCTATTTGTATTTTTATGTATGTGGTAGGTTGGTTATGTTTCTCGACCTTGGGAGAAGTGAGCCTCTGTAGGAGTTGTCCTGTGCATCTCAGTTCTCAGCAGTTCTCTCCCCTCTCATCACCCAAGGGCCAGAGGGAGCTGGGCCTGGGGTAGGGTCTAGCCTGTGTTTATGGACTCATTCCACAGGCTGCAGGATCATAGTTTTCTTGCTCCTGGTGTCTGCCCCATGGTAGGTGAGGGTGGCCTAGAGGCTTGTGCA